GCGTCTTTCTCATGGGAAATTTTACATGTTTCTAGCTGGAAAGGGGGAGGTCAGAGACTTTCCTGCATCTGCTGTTTCTCAAGGTCCTCAGGGCCAAAAAGTCATTATGCAGAAGCCGCCAGTCCTGCGCCTCACCCTGCAGCTCATTCACCAAAAGACATCACATGTGCGAGGAAATGTCAGTAATGACCCAGCCGGGGTGACCTGCCTTCTGTCCGCAGCAGCCTGGGCGCGGGAACCAGGTGCCTGCACAGTGGGGAGACTCGGCCCCTCGCTGGAGGACTGCGACCTCCCCCAGGGGCGGGGAGATGACACACTGTGCATCCACCTGTGCCCGGTGCAGACACGCATGGTGTTGGATCGTGGGCACAGGAGACGCAAACGGAGAGGCCGCAGGGTGTCCAGGTTTCTGTTGTGTTCGTGCAGCTGGGCATGTGTCTGGACGCGTGAGGACTTGCCTTGGTTGTGTGCCTACTTAGGCACCTTACTGAATTTCTTACATTTTAGTGAAAGTTAACTCAAAAAACAAAGGCAGTGTTGAATATTCTGTGGTTGGAGGTGTGAACGAAAAATACTGCAAACCATATCAGTAAACAAAGAATGCTGAAGCACCAAGTCATCAGCGGCTGCTGCCGCCCCCCAGTGAGGACAAGCCTGCAGCCCAGCCTCTGCAGCCACTCACAGTGGTGCACCCTGAGGGGACTCAGAACAAGAAAGGACAGGACACTGGCCCTAGGTAGCTAGATGCTCAAAGGAATGAATTCAATGAGCCCAAACGCTTGCTTCCTCCCTTACAGAGAAAAGCGCCAAATTCTTTAACTGGAGATGCCGGATTTTCTTTAGATAACACGTAATCTTTTATTGTTCCAACTACCTGGTCTTTGGTGTAAAGCTCCTGTATAACCCAGCCCCTCCCCTACCTCTTGGGAGCAGTCCCTCAGAGGGATTTGAGAGGCTGTCATCCAGGCTCGAGTCCTGCCCGCAATGAAACATAACTCTCAACTTTTAGGCTGTGTGTTTATTTCAGTCGACAGAGGTGAGGCCTGATGTTAAAGATGGAGAACAACTGGGTGGCATTAAAGAAAAACTGAGAGTGGAAAACCCGGAATTCGCAGAGGCCAGCTGCAGAGCTGGGCCCGGGCGGGGCACTTCGCAGGGACCCGTCCCTGCCGTGTGCTCGCGGGGCCGCGTGCTCGCGGGGCCGTGTTCCACTTCACGAGGGAGGTGTCCAGTCTCCCCGTCTGTTTTGTCAGAGGCTCTCCAGCTCTTCCTCTTCCGCATGTTTTCCATCCACCCCAAGCCCAGTGGAGACAGAACATCCCCAGGCAGAGGGAAGGGTCTATTCCGTTCTCTGAGCAGAAAGAGCCTCTCTCCCAGACTTTCCCAGACCTGCCTGTCTGTCAGAATCATCCCCAAGTGCTTGCCAGAAACACATTCTCCAGGGTGTTTCCTGGGGATTCTGATTTGGTTGGGCTGGGGTGGGATCTGGGACCCCAGACTCTTCTTCCAGTCAGACAAGTTTAGGAAGCAGTGCTCTAATGCACAGGACAGTCTTTGGAAAAGAAAAAATGCATTACTGTAAAAGTGAGATGATTTGAAAATAGTCCAAGATCTTCAAAAAATTTTACAATGCATCCAGCAGTAAAGTTGCTACATAAAAATACAGGATGCCCAGATAAAACTAAAGTTCAGATAAACAACAAAAAATACTTTGCGTGAGATGTCCTTAGACTGTTTATCTAAGACTCACATTTAGCTGGGCGCTCTGTATTGTCATTAGCTGAATCTGACCACCGGAGGGGTGAGGACACAGGCGCTGGCTGGGGCTGACTGCAGATGAGAACGGGCAGTTGGGTGGTCATAGGGGCAGTTGCATGATGGTGGGAACACTGGTTGACTATTAGGAAGGCCAGGTACTGCTGTAAACACCTCACACAGTGAGGTGGGCAACACTCTTATTCCCCCTTCACAGATTGGAAATGGGGCAGAGAGCTGTAACTTGCCCAAAATCGCAGCAGTGAGGACCCGGAGGATCAGGTTCCTCCCAGGCAGTGTGATCCCTGTCCCTGGACCACCTCTCAGCCTGGCCACCACCAGCATAGGTCAGGGTTCTTGGAAACGGGCTCTTACCCACTATGTGTGTTCCCTGCCCCGAGCTCCACTCAGTAATGTGTTCAGCAAATATGGACCAGGGCTTGTGGGATGTGAACAGAACAGCCCGGGCCCTGCAGTGTGGAGCTCACGGTGGCAGGAGGAGTGGGATTGTTTCCAGAACTCCTGTCAGAGGTTCCGATGAGCCCTTAAGTCCCCTCCTCCGGGGAAGGTGAGGACGCACTGGTCTGGCGCCTCTCTCTTCTCAAACCTGTAGCTGCCTTGCCCAGGGCTGGCCGCTCCCACCGTGGCTCCCACTGTGTCTTATCGATTTGCATTCCAGCCGCTTGTGCTCTTGCCACTGACCTGAGGACTCAAAGCAGCACTTTGTCCAGGAAGTAAGAGGCATCAGCCAGCTGCCCCCGCACAGTCTGAGGACTGAGGAGGGTCCCTGGAATCCACTGAAGACCTCAGAGTAGGCGTCAGTCCAAGATAGAACCTGAGGGGGAACCGGGTGTGTCTGGGAGGACTTGGTGCCCAGCCAGGAGACTGCCCAGCCCTGGGTAGATTTCCCACCTTTTTTGGTAACCCAAGACATCCTTCCAGTGGCAGTGGTCTTCCCATTTCCATCCAAAGGACGGCTGAGTGTTAGAGCTGGTGGGCCACCTGCTGTCCCTCTGCCTTTACCGAAACTGGTCTTTCTTTGCTGTCCCCAACACTGCCCCCCACCCCTACCCACTAGACAGCAATTGAAGGCTGCTGTTCTTTTTATCACAGCACCTAAAACAGCACTATTACCAGGATCATCATGAAGGAAATGTAAATCAAAACTGTGAGACTGTTTTTCACGTGTCAGATGGACGATCAGAGGGTGCTGAGTTGCATCTCAGTGTTGGTGCGGGGGTGGGGAGACAGGTGTCCTCATACACCTTTGGGAGAGAGTATATTGGGACACATTTTTTTTTGGAGTGCACTTTGGTAATAACTATGAAAATTAAAAGTGCACACACCCTTTGACCCAGGTCCCCTGGAGGAATTCACCAAGCAGCGTACCCCCAAATACTTGCAGAAGGATATTTACTGCAGCACTAGACGTAGCAGTGGAAAAGCCCGGGAACAATGAGCCTCAATGTCCATCAATGGGGAAATGATTAAATAGTCTGTAGTTTCTCTGCAAGATTGAATTCCACGTAACTATTGAAAAGAGTGAGCTAGAAAGATACCCAAGATACCTTTCTTCTTTTCTTCATCTATCATTGAGTAATTCAGTCACCGTGATTACAACGTGCTGGTCATGGTGCTGGGGAAGAAGCAGTCCAGCGCCAGAGCCTCGGTGCGGACGGGGCAGTGGGAGCCCGCAGAACAGGGGAGGTCAGGAGAGGTCCCCTCGTCGTGGCCCTGTGGTGGGAACTGCGGGAAAACAGACGTGAGGTGGCAGATGGAGCTGGGTGAGGGGACCAGGAGGTCCATTTGTGAAAGGGGGAAACTTGAATATGTAAAAGCCAAAGGGAAGAATTCAGATGCAATGTGCTATTAAGTTCAAAACTATAGCCACAAGTGTGTGTCAACACGCACATCGATGTAGCATGATATAGTGTGCACAGTATAACCTCATTTGTGTGGAAGTTTGGAGACTGTTCACATGATGATGTTATATGCATAAAGTGTGTTCTGAAGGACACGAGAGTTATTAATAGTGGTAACTATTGTTGTCTTTGCGGGAGCTGGTGGGTGGAAGGGACGTGTGATTTGTCTTATGTTACACGTCAGCACTCTCCTTCCTCCCTCAGCCTGAATTCCTAATTTTCAGGGTGTTTGATGTCATCCAAGCATGAAGAGGAAAGCAATTCTAATGAAAGGAATCCAAGGAATCCAAGATAAAAGGCAAAGTTTTAATAGCCCCCAGCCCCCTCTTAAACTGTGCTGAATCACAAGGGGTGGAATTCAGGAATGTGGGTGTCCTTCCCCGCCCTGGGGTTCAGGTGTCACCTGGCTGTGCCCATTGAGCCTCCAAACGTTCTCACCGGCTGCAGGGTGGGGTTACCTGGGGACCTTCATAAATACTGATGACCTGTTGCCACACCTGATCAGGTAAATCCAGGCCATGGGGGTGGGGCCCAGTTGTCACTGTTTTGAACTCTTGACTCTCTACAGTGGTTCTCAACCGACTGCAAGTTAGAATTACTGAGGGAGTGAATATTAACGTCTGTGTCAGTCTGCTCGGATAACTGTAACAAAATACCACAGACTGGGTGGCTTAAAAACAGAAATCCATTTTCTCGTAATTCTGGAGGCTGGAAGTCGAAGGTCAGGGTGTGTTTTGGGTTGAGGGTTCCTTCTGAGGCCTGTCTCCTTGGCTTGGAGATGGCCACCCTCTCCCTGCGTCTTCAAGTCGTCTTTCCTCTGTGTGCCCATGGCCTATCTCCTCCTGTAAGGACGCCAGTTTCAGTGGCGCACAGTCCACCATAATGACCTCATTTGACTCAGTCACCTCTTCAAAGGCTCCATCCCGAGGTTCTGGCGGTTAGGACTGTGACGTATTAATTTTGAGGGGACACAATTCAACCCCAAACACTGTCCAAGCTCCATTTTAGGGCAATTCAGTTAGAATGTTTGAGGGTCGACATGAATGTTTTTCATCTGAGGCTGAGGACTGCAGGTGAACAGGGTGACCAGGTGCAGGAAAGTGACTCCAGAGGCAGGTGGCCGACCTCACCTCGCCACCAGCACGAGGGAGCCGTCAGAGCCTGGGTGGTGCTGCTTGGTGTGGCCTCCGAGTCGAGGGGCCACAGCCATGACCTGCCCCCTCACGACGACTTTAAGCCCATTTTTCATCTCCTCCCAGTTTGGAGTTCTGTCTTTGAGGAGCTCTGTGAAGCTTGCTCTTTCAGAGTAACCAGATTGAATTCCCTGAGGCCAGAGTGATCAAAATATAAATGAGTTTCAGATAAAATAATGCTATCACTGAAAAGAGCTTGGGCCAGTGACAAGTCAGGCAAGAAGGCCCGGAAGGGAGGTGAGGGAGCCCCACCCAGCCAGATTGCTCCGGAGCCCGGATTTCTGCCGTGGACCTGCCAGGGACGAGGCTGGCGAGGGGAGACTAGAGATGGTGCTGCCAGCATGTCAGGGAGCTAAACCAGCCGCCAGGGCCGCTCCACCTCTGCACTCGCTGTTAGAGAACACAGGAAATTTCTTCTGTTTAAACTGATGACAGGGCAAAACTGACACAGCGAATTACTGCCAGGCAGCGGTTCTCAATTACAGCAGCTGAAGATGACACCTGCCTGGTAGTGCGAAAAAACAGAACGAAATCTCACTGATTTCTGGGTTCCACATGCAGAGGTCCTGATTTATTTGGTCTTCAGTAAGTAAAGGCACTGGGACAAGGCTGAGACCCCTGGTACCAACGTCAGGAGACTCCTGTGGACCGGCTACAGAAGCTGCCTCAGAGCTCAAGCTGAAAGCTGAGCAAAGGTGAGGCAAAGCAGGAGCTGGACACGTGCCTCTTGTTCTGGGCTCCCGCGAGGGCCGAGCATGGCCAGCTCTTCCCCTGTGGTGGGCAGTCTACAGGGCACTGCCAGAGAGCTACCTGGGACAGGCGTGAACCCAGGGCCCTGGTAGATGGGGCCTCGTTTCCTCCTGCAGCAGAAGAGCCGGTGTGTGTGCTGCACGCATGCCTGTGTGCGTGTGTGTGTGCTGGTGGTGGGGCAATGGAGCTTGCATTTTATTTGGGTCTGGGGAAGCACAGCTTTCCAGGAAGAAAATCGAGCGGGGACTGAAGGCCTCACTGTGGCGTGAGCCTGCCCTGAGGGGAACCCCAGCATGGCGGGTGTGGGGTTGCATGTATGTAGTGTGTGCACTGTGGTCTCCCAACTTGGGAGTGAGGTGGGCTCTGCTCCTGACCCTGAGACTCCTGGAGGCTGGCAGGAGGATGGAGACAAACAAAGGGACCTCAGGGACAGGAAAATCAAAGTCCCGGAAGCACAGCTCTTGGCAGAGGACCCCAGCCTGAGTAGTGCAAGTGGGGTTCCCACTGTCAGTCTAGACAACAGCCACCACTGTCAGGGGGAGGCTGACCTGTGAGGTTGGGGCCCTGGTGCTCATGGGAGAATCTGCACCATCTCATTTTCCTCGGCTGAGTTCCCTCCAAGGATGTGACTGCCGACAAACCACCCTTTCATTTATTCTCCTAGTTAAATAAGAAGAAAACAATGCTTCCCCTTTAAACCTCCCTTTAAGGGTTACCCAGCACTCACATGCCTGAAAATCCTCAGTGCATGGCCTCAGTGAGGACAGCCGACTCTGACTTTTGAAAGGTGATGATCAGGGAGTGGAGGTTAAGAAAGTTGTTCGGAAAGTACCGAGTGGGCATCTGGTAGGTGCTGGAGAAGAGACCAGCGTGGGACAGAGTAGTCCCAGCCCTCAGAGAGCTTATTAGGGAAAGAAGACTAAAATGGGAAGGAAATGAGACGTGATTAAAGGTCAAACTGTGCGACCTCATAACAAAACCCCCTGAGCTGGGGGAGCTGGAGGGGGAGCCACCTTCCTAAAGAAGGCAGGCCGGCAGGTGCAGGGATTTGGCGGGGGGGGGGGCAGGGGCGGGGGTGTGGGGAGGGTGAGCTGGAGTTGAGGAGAGGACAGCGGGCAGACAGCCTGAAGGGCCACGGGCAGTGAGGTGGGCACGGGGGCGTGGCCAGGATAAGGGAGACCTCAAGGCCTGGAAGCGGGGGGGGGGGGAGGGGGG